AGTCTAGTCTTTCCAATTTGTTTAATAGAAAAATCGATTCAAATGATCCCGAATTTTTTAAATAGATTTGATCAAATGAAAATAAATTGATGCTAATTTAGTATGCAAATGATATTCCGGTACTAATAATAAAGTTTCAGCTATATTCACGAAAGAGGAAATGGTCAGGTTTTGAAAAGGGGATGATGACGACGATTTACAAGATGTTGAGCTAATTGATACCGGAAGTAATCATAATTTCGGTGAAAGTGTGGTTAAAAATAGTTGATTATTGACACATGAGATTATAAATAATAATGCAAATTTAAAAAAACAGTTTTTTCGAATATGAAAACTTTAACGTCACATGTAAAATAAATAAAATTTGTCATTGTTTATAAGAGTAAAAAGATTCATTCGAATGGTATCATAAGCGGATATGGTTAAATAAATAGAAAAATTGATTTTAAAATCCGGAGTTTTTATGATAGATTTCATAAAATAAGATTAATTAATGCAAATTGAGTATGTAAAGAAGGTCCCGTTAATAATTTTGTTTTGACTATTTTTTAAGGTATTTAATTTACATAAACTCCAGTTAAGAAATATTTCAATTTTTCTTGACAAATTGAAAACTTGTATTATAATAATATCAAATTTTATAATTGAACAATATGTAAATAAGGTCCCGTCAATAAATCCGCTTAGAGTAATTTTGTCAGGTATCCAAATTACATGGACGTCAGTTTTAAGAAATATTTCAATTTTTCTTGACTAATTGAAATTTTGTATTTTAATTAGCTATTTAAAATATTGGCAATTTTTGCAAAATTTGAGGGTTAGTTATTGCGAAAATAATTTATGAAGTAATTCAAATTGACAAAAAAAACAATGTTTTCACAAATATTCTACGCCATTGGATAAACAATTAAAATAGATCAATGAATATTAAGTAGATCCTGCTATTCTGAATTTTGTGTCGTAAGTGGAAAAATTAATTGAAACATCTGAAATTTTTTAGTAACGTTCATAAAATCAATATTAATATGTCCAAAATGACTATGCAAATAAGACACCGGTAGCAAATACTAGAGTAATTTTTCAGGCATCCAAAACCAATTACATGAACTTGAGTTGAGAAATACTTTAGAGAATTTAAAATATCTATTTTAATAGCTATTTAGAATTTTGGAAAATTTCTGGAAAATTCGAGTGTTAATTATTGACGTGCTAAATTTATGAAATACAAAATACGAATTCAAAATAGAATGTTTTCCCAATTATGACAACTTGAATGTCTTGTAAAAGACGTTAGGCTCAAAGTAAAAATAGATCGATTTATAGACTAGAGAGTTGTTGTCTCATAAATAGAAAAATTGATTAAAATACATAATCCAGATTTCTTTTACAGATTTCATTAAATAAAAATCAACTTATACAATTTTAGTATGCAATTAAAATCCCGGTAATAAATCAATCAATCATCATCAATCATCATCATCAATAAATCAGTAAATCAATCATCCCGGTAATAAATGAAATAAAATCCGGGTAATAAATATTTGGAGTAATTTTTCAGGTATCTGAATTACATGCAAATTGATACCGGCTCGTTTTGACATCAATTTCACCTACACGAAGGTGAAAATCATGAAGAAAATCATCAAGTTGAAGTTGTTGAAGAGGAGAAGATGAAGACGACGATTTAGAGGATGTCGAACTAATTGATTATTGACAGATTAAATTTATGAAATAATGCAAATCAAAAAAAATATTATGGTTGCAAATATGACAAATTGAACGCCATTTATAAAATAAAAGAAAATATTGTGATTTTAAACATTTATGTAGATACGTGCATTTGGAAGTTGAAATATTCGATTTGGTGGATTTTTTATAATGAATATTTATAATTAATAGATTATAATTAATTATAGATTATAATGAATTTTCAGGTATCTAAATCACATATTAATTGATAACGATACCAGCTCGTTTTTGGCAACAGTTTCAACAGTTTGAACACGAAGACAAATATTTTTTTTATTAATCTCAAGAATTTGCAAGCAACTCCATGATGAATTAAAAATATTATTGGGGACAAAAAATGGTCAAGTTTATATTCAAGTTGTTGAAAAGGGTGACGTCCACGATTTAAAAGATGACAAACTAATTGACACAGAATGGGTGAAAGCGATATCAAAAATAGTTGAGGGTCACTTATTGACAGATTAAGATTACAAAATATATATAATGCAAATTATATTGGTAAAAGTATGAAAACATGAATGCCGTTTGTAAAAAAAATAATAAAATAATTTACAGAAATTAAATAGATTCGCCCATAGAATGTTGACAATAAAAAATTGATCTAAGTAATCCGAAATTTTAATAGATTTTATAATACAAATTTAATATGGCAATGATATCCCGGTTAAAAAAGTTTCAGCTAGGCGAAAATGATCAAGTTAATGAAGATGAAGACAACAGTTTACAAGATGTCGAGCTAATTGGCACCGTAAGTGAGCATAATTTTGGTGAAAGTGTGGTTGAAAATATATCAGGGTTAATTATTGACAGGTTAAATTTATGAAATACATAATCCACATTAAAAAAATAAGGTTTTTACAAAAATGAAAATTTGAACGCCAGTTTCCAATAAATATCTTTTGTTATTATTTTCAGAGCTTAATAAGATTGATTTGCTGGTGAAAGTCAATGGTTAGATTTCATAAATGTAAAAATATTGATGAAATTAATCCGGAATTTGTTTAGATTTCAAGAAACAAAAATAAGACTATGCAAATTGAATATGTTAATGATATCTTTTTAATAAATATGTTTAAAGCATTTTTTTGGCATCCAAATTACATGCTAATTGATGACTATACCAGCTCGTTTATTGCAACAGTAACTAATTGATACCGGATGTGAGCATAATTTTGGCGAAAGTGTGGTTGGAAATAGTTGAGGATAAATTATTGACAGGTTAAAGTTCTGAAATACAAAATGCAAACTTAAAAAATATGTTTTTCCAAAAATGCAAAGTTAAACGCCATTTATCAAATACATAACATTTGAGCATTATAAAAGTTTAAAAAGGTTGATTCATGTTACAAAGGTTGATTTACTGGTGATTACTAAAAAAGAACGGAGCCCAGATTTTTAGTAAACGGATGGATTTCATACACGGAGAATATGGAGTAATTTTATCAGGTATCCAAATTACATAAACTTGAGTTAAGGAATATTTCAATTTTTACTAACCAATTGAGAATTTGTATTATAATAGGTATTTCGAATTCTGGCAATTTTTAAAATAAAATTTGAGGGTTAGTTATCGAGAAAATAAATTTATGAAGTAAGGGGCCATCCATAAATTACGTAACGCAAAAATCGCGATTTTCTAGACCCCCTCCCCCCCTTTAACATGTGTAACATAGGCACGATATCATTGGAGCCTTAGACCCCCCCTCCCCCCCTTTTGCGTTACGTAATTTATGGACGGCGCCTAATGAAAATTAAAAATAATAATGTGGTTGCAAATATAATAACTTCAATGCCATTTGGAAAATAAATAAAATATATCAAAGACAAATATTAAGTAGATCTAGGTTTTCTGGTATTGCGGATGTTGTGTGTAGATAGAAAAGTTGAAAGTTGATTGAAACACATAATCCGAAATTTTGTAAAATTTCATAAAATAAAAATTAATCTATTCAAATAAGATCTCGGTAACAGATATTAAAGTAATTTTTCAAATATTCAAATTCCTGAACTGGAGTGAATTTTAATTTTTCTTGGCAAATTAAAAATTTAATAGCTGTTTAGCAATTTAGAATATTTGTGTAAAATTCGAGGGATATTTATTGAGAGGTTAAATTTATGAAATATGTTTTATATACGTAATTTAAATTTAAAAAATAACGTTTCTACAAAATGAAATCTTGAACGCCATTTGTCAATTACATAGAATACAGCATTCACGTTGTTTAATTAGATTAATTTGTCGTGCATGGTTAACGGATGTGATTCATAAATAGAAAAAATTTGATTAAAATAATCCGAATTTTTTAAATAAATTTAATAAAATAGAAATAAATTTATGTAAATTGAGTATGTAAATAAGACCCAGTTAATAACGTTACAGCTAAACGAAAGGTGAAATTGTCAAATATTATGTTCAAGTTTTTTAAAACGATGAAGGCGACGATTACAAGATGTCAAACTATTGATACCGGATGTGAGCATAATATTGGGGAAAGTGTGATTGAAAATAGTGAAGTATTTACCAAATAATAAGTGCCAAATTTATGAAATAATGCAAATTAAGCAAATTATGTGATTACAAATATGACAAACTTGAACGCCATTTGTAAAATAAGCGAAATATGTTATTTTCAAATTGTAAGTAGATGGACTTTACGTTAGTCATAATCGATTTGATGGAATTGTAAAATTGATTAAAATAATGTTGAAATTATTTTAAAAAAACATAACAAAAAAACATTAAATTATGCAAATGGAGTATCTAATAAATAAGACTCCATTAATAAATATGGGTTTATAGTGACTTTTCAGGTATCCAAATTGCCTAATTTTTTTTTGGTAAATTTATATCGGTTTCAAAGGACATTTTGTTCGAAATATAATTTATTTGCAAGCTTTCATCCGCATGCAGTGAACTTCTTCAGGCAAAAGTTTGCCTAATTTTATTTTAATATCTATTTCGAATTTTGAAATTTTTTGTATATAAAACTCGAAAAGTATACGAATAAATCAGGATAATTAAATACTTATGCAATCGTTTATATGCATGTGGTACTTAAATGCATACTGAAATAATTTTGGTCATTTGCATGTCGGAATATACATATTGACCAATTAGAATTGAGCCAAAATAAGATTACTGCAGTCTGTCTGGACTTGGACCCAATATAATGCATTGATTGATTAGATGAGTTTCTCATGACCCGAATTGATGATAAGTAAATTCGTAAAAAAAATGTCTTGCTTTGCATAAAGGAGTCATTGAGAATTGTGGATGCATAAATGTCAGATATATTATTTAGTTTGTATCAGAATAATGTTGGCTTAAATTGAACTTGGGCAATTTCTGGAATTATTTTTCACGCAAAATCAACTTTTACAGAAAATTTTGCAAAGATTTTGGCTTAAAACAATAACTTGTTAATAAAGTCGGATTTTTTTTGTGGATGATATACTTTTTGGAGTAGCAATTATCAAATTTGTGGTAGATTTTTGTAAAAAAAATATCACATTAATAATTTTGGAGATAATTTTTAAGAACAGATTTTTTCGGTTTTTTGCAAGTCGTGCTACGATATACTAACAATTTATGCAAAAAGTTGTTCGCGAATTCACTTTGGAAAAAACCTGCGAATGTCTAGAACAAGTATTCGATTTTGGTACAAAAAAATGCAAAACGTTTTTTGCAAACGTGAATTGTCTTCAAACTAAAAAAAATTGAGTAAAATTATCACCCCTACTAAATTTTGACACCGAAAAAATCAATGAAAACCTCGCCAAAAAATGGTTCGCGAATTCACCTCGGAAGAAATTGTAAAAATAGGTCAGTTGCGTTCCCTCCTTATCACAGGAAAGGTTTCACCCCCACTCAACGAGACCTTTGAGGACGACTATTACCTCGTGAAATGAATCCGAGCCAGAAATTTGGACGTTTCCAAAGCCCACGAAATGTTACTGGCGTCACTCGCGTGGCGTCGAGAGAACCGAATCGACGGAATTTTCGACCGAGAGGGCGAAGTTCCTGAAAAATACAAGATAACCAACCCGACCGGATATTTTGGGGATGATAAGGACGGAAATTCCATCGTTTGCTTACCCCTCGGTCGCTACAAAAATCGCGACACAATGGCGGAAATTGGATTGCCGGCATTTCTGCGACTTTACTTTGCGTGGATGGAAATCGTCACGAAATTATTGAAAGAACGGGAGGCTGAAACGGGCAAGAAAGGGTTACAAGTTATTCAGTTGGTGGATATGGAGTGTTATTCTATAAGGTGAGATTTTAGATAAGTACTTATCCAAAAAATCATGTAATATTTGTTTTAAAAGCACTTCACCAAGGGCATTAAAAACTGGTGTCATGAAAAGTTGGTGACTTTCACGGGTTCCCGGAAATTGAAGGAATTTCCGGAAATCTATTTGCACCTGTCATACTATTTTTGCGGAATAATTTTATTTTTTTGTGATAACTGTAAAATTGTATTTTACTTTTAAGCCCAAGTCAGGGCTTATGTACCCGTCATGGTTGTCTGTCTCTGTCTGCCCGTCTATTGATTACGCTAGTAAAACTTATTTAACCTACTTGAAATTTTGCACACATGCAGAATCTGCAAAATTATGAAACAAGTTCAGAGATGAGCAAATTTTCTGACAAAATAAAAAACGTTGTAGTGGTCGCATTCGTATTACACCCAGCTCAATTATGAATAACTACCTGACTCGGGCCAAATAAGGTTGCACTTTAGGTTTTATTTTAGAAATTCAGCTTGTTACAAGTTGGCGGCCCTCAACTTCCCGGAAATTTAGAGGAATTATGAAAAATCTGTCTGAACCTGTCATACAATTTTATAGAATATTTTTTTTTCGTTTTTTTTACAAGTAATAATTTTATTTTCATTAATTTTCTTCAAGGGAAATCATGTACCAACCGGTTCGCGAATTTGTCAAGGTATCGCAGGCAATTGTTAGCGCGAATTATCCGGAATCTTTGAAGGTTATGCTGATCATCAATGCGCCCAGCGTGTTCGCCCTGGCGTTCAAACTGGTGAGGCATCTCATGCCGAAAGAGACCTTGGCGAAGATCGACATCTACGGACAGGACGAAGAGGAATGGAAAAGAGTCCTGAGGTCAAAGTGTGCACATCTGAATAAAGTTCCCGTCCGGTGGGGAGGCACGCTGAAAAGCACGGACATCTTTGGGACGGCTGGGACGGAGGCGTCTGTTTGGAGTGGGATTGTTCCCTTATCGTTCTTTACAGATGGTGGGTTTGCTTATATTACATTTCGAATTTAGAATTTAAATCAATTTTAAAATAGTTGACCTTTGACCTCGTCAATGTGAAAGTGTTGTGAAAATGAAATGACCTGCAATTTGTGTAAATGAAAATTGGGACCAATATTTAATCCGTCGTTTCTATTCTTCGCGTAGTTTAAAACTGAAATTTTATAATTATCCTTTGACCTCTTTAATGTGAAAGTGTTTTGAAAAAATTCAGGATAGATGAAATTAACTGTGCAGTAATTTGTACAAATGAAAATTGTGACATAAATTCTCTCATAATTTTTTGTAATCAAAATGAGAGATTGCTGAAAATCAGAAATTTGTCCGGTTTGACGTCATAAATTAATTTTTGTAATTCTTTATACTTCTTAAATTAAGTAAGATGTTTGATTAAATGGGGGGATTTTGGGGTTTTGGTGCAAATATTTACAGAAACATAAATATTTTTCAAACTCATAAATTTTACCATTTTCTCCTTACTTCGATACAATTTTTTCCGTAAATTTTATAAATAATTGACTTTTGACCTCCTTATTTTATTTTCAGACGTAATCGACTCCCACGGCTTCAAAAAGGTGAAAGTCGGAGCACGCGACAAGTATAAAATGGACGTCTTCACAACCTCGTCAAGGTCCGAGATCCGATGGCGTTTTAACACGGAAGATCACGACATTGGATTTCAAGTTGTGTGTCCACGTGGTTCCACGCTCGTGCCGTGGCGTCGTCTCGACTCGCACAATTCGATGCAGGAGGGAACCATCACGTGCGAAACGGTGGGTAAGTACCAGCTCGTTTTCGACAACAGTTTCAGCTACACGAAGGCGAAAATGGTCAAGTATTACGTCCAAGTTGTGGAAGATGGTGATGATGAAAACGAAGATTTACATAATGTCGACCTTATTGATACCGAATATCACCAATGCTTAAGTAGATCATTTTCCTTTCCCATGCACGGGGATGTTGTGTCGTAAATAGAAAAATTGATTAAAATAAGCCGGAATTTTTTATAGATGCCATAATTATTAAGGGGTGAAAGCCCTTTATAAGATCGTTATGTCCGTCTGTCTGTCCGTCCGTCCGTCCGTCCGTCCGTCCGTCCGTCCGTCTGTCTGTCCGTAGCTCCGATAACTTTTGAACGAAAAGACATAGACACTTGAAATTTTGAACGTAAACTCCTAACGTCAATGGACAGGACGAGTTCGAAGATGGACACTGTGACATCGTCACCTGTGACGATGACGTCGTCACAGTGACGAAAAGTGACGAAAAAGTGTCACTTGTCAGTTTTGACATGTGACACATCATTTTTAACTATTTTTCAATGAGGAATTCGAAAATTCATGTCATTTTGTGTTTGGACGTCACCTGTGACGATGACATCGTCACGGTGACGAAAAGTGACGAAAAAGTGTCACTTGTCAGTTTTGACATGTGACACGTCATTTTTAACTATTTTTCAATGTCAAATTCAATGGTGACCTCCATTTTGACCTCAGAGGTCATGTAAAGGTCATAGGACATATCTATTTCAATTTCAACTGAAATTTAACCCCGAATTCAATGGTGACCTCCATTTTGACCTCAGAGGTCATATAAAGGTCACATAAGGGTTATCAACTGTTAAATTTGACACAAATAAGACACAAAAGTCGAAAACACGTCAGAAGTGTCAATCTTAACAAATTTTCGAACAATTTGATATTCACATTGACGTATGACACTCCTTTCACCCCTTGGTTACATGCGTTGTAACGGTTTATTTTAGTTACATACATTATTTTACTTAAATTATATTTTGTTGGAAAAATTGCACAAAAAAACAGCGTAATTTTGAAGCCACGTGGCAATTCTGATTGTAAAAATACTTAAAAATGAACATTTGAGAATGCAATTTTGGCTGAGATAGATGTTCAGCATTATGAAAAGTTGAATGCCATTTTCCAAGTAAATAATATCTGACTAGGGATACCTTTTCTATGATAGTTGAAAAATGAGTTCTAATTTAACTTTTTGCATGCACCATGATATGTTTTGATTGCAAAGTGCAAAAATTTTTCTGCAAAACCAATTTGCTAATTTTTTAATAGCCTTCAAAGTTGGCGAAAGTGGGGGTGGAATAGGTTGAGTGGGAGCGGGTGGAGATGGGGGCGGTCGTGCCCCCCACTTTACACTAACCACCTGTGACGGTCATTATTATCTGTGTGACCCAAGGAAATCCATCAGTAACTTATGTTTGATAAATTTAGTAACTTATGTTTACTTGAAATTTAATTAATTGTAAGAAAATTTAGTTAAGTGAATGAAAAAAATTGATGCATGTTGATGGCATTGTGCGAAGTGGTAAGATCAGTTTGCGCACCAAATACTTAAATCCTATTGTTATTTTAGTCATCTGCTCTTTCTCTTTTGTTAAAAATTCTCTGAAAATTGTTCAATTAAGTAATCATATTAGCAATTACCACTCTAAATATGGCGAAAATCATTAAAGTGTGCGAATTGTTACTAGAATTAGTAGAACTAAAATATGACACCGCTGGAGTACCCGCTGGATAATTGACAGTGGCTTAAATCTTAACGACTTAGCAAGTGAAGGACTGATTTTAATCAAAAATTTACTTAATTTTTCAACCAGTACATGTGAAACGCTCGATGCATTGGAAATTTCCAGTGACGATGTAATTGACATTTACGGTGACAGTGCAGCTCAAACCGACACAATTTCCGAAGAATCGTCATCGCAGGAATGGGAAATTGAAAGTATCGAACATAATAATTATAATCTCGAAGAAATGATAAAGATTTAAAGTTTTACGACAGTGTTAAGTCAAATAAATTGTTTAAAACTAGACGTTTCCCTAAAATATCAACTTATGCAACAATTTCTCGGATGAAGACGTACATCGACCAGAATGGCAACAAACTGAAGAAGTTAAAAGATATAGAAGATTTTGTGTTCGAAAGATTTAATTTTACAAGAGAATCTCTAATACACATTGGTGAAGTGGATTTAAAACGCTGGAGAATTATAAAATCTAAAGAATTATCTTTGCCATTCAAACCTAGTTCAACTTGGGTCCATAATTTTAAGATTAAACATAGAATTGTGTAGCGAAAAATAACCAGATCATAATGACCGTAACAGGTGGTGGTAGTGTATAGCGAGGGATACGACCGCCCCCATCTCCACACACTCCCACTCTGCCTATTCCACCACCACTTTCGCCAACTTTGAAGGCTATTAAAAAATTAGCAAATTGGTTTTGCAGAAAAATTTTTGCACTTTGTAATCAAAACATATCATCGTGCATACGAAAAGTTAAATTAGAACTCATTTTTCAAATATCATAGAAAAGGTATCCCTAGTGAGTATTGAAAAGATTAAAAAAGGTGTTTTCACGGTGAAGTTCAATAAATGGATTTCATAAATGGAAAAATCGATTAAAATAATCTGAAAAATCGATTAAAATAATCTGAAAAATCGATTAAAATAATCTGGAATTTGTTTAGTAGATTTCATAAATTATAAATTAATGTGTGCAAATTGAATATGCAAATAAGATCTCGGTAATGAATATGTGTTTAGAGCTACTTTGTCAGACATGGTTGAGGAATTAAAATTAGACATTTTTACGTAAGAAATACATGTAAAAATGTCATAGAGGTATCCACATTGCATGAATTTCAGTTTTCTGAAATTTTTATTGACGAATTGAAAAGTTGTATGTTAATTAGCTATTTCAAACTTTTGTAAATTTTTGTAACCTTTGAGGGTTAGCTTTTGAGAAAATAAATTTATGTAATTCCCATTAAAAAATGTTTTCACAAATATGACAACTTGAACGTCGCTTGTAAAATAAATACAATTTATCATTACTTCAAAGTTTAAAAAGATTAATTCGATGGCGTTAATTTGGTAATTAAATAAAATATATTATCTACAAATTAAGTAGATATGTATCTTTCAACTTTCGGAGATATTGTTTCATAAATAGACAAATTGAGTAAACACATAATCCGGAAGTTTTTTCTAGTAAATTTAATAAAATAAAAATCATCTTATGCAAATTTAGTATTCAAATAAGGTCCTGTTGATACGTGTGAGCTTACAGTAATTTTTCTTTTGTCCAAATTACATGTTAATTGATAACGACACGAGCTCGTTTTGAGCAACAGCTTCACGTACAAAGACAAAATTGGTCAAGTATTATATTCAGGTTGTTGAAGAAGGTGACTTCCACGATTTACAAAATGTCGAGCTAATTGATACCGGAAGTGATCATAATTTTGGTGAAAGTGCGGTTGAATATAGTTGAGGATTAATTATTGACGGGTTAAGCTTATAACGTAATGCAAATTAAAAATTTAAAAAATATATGAAAACTTAAACGCCGCTTGTAAAAATAAATAAAATAAATAATTCGTTAAGATAGTTTAAGTAGATTCGCCGTCGGTTTCAGCTATGTAGAAGAAGATGAAAATGGTCAATCATTATTTCCTAGGTGTTGAAACGGGTGAAGATGAAGACATCGACGATTTACAAGATGTTGAACTAATTCACACCGGAAGTGAGCATAATTGTGGTTGAAAATAGGTCAGGATTAATTATTTTGACAGGGTAAATTTATAAAAGACATAATACACATTAAAAAATAAGGTTTTTGCAAAAATGAAAATTTAGACGCCAGTTTATAATAAATACCTTTTGTTAGTTTTTATAAAGCTTAATAAGATTGATTTGCCGGTGAAAGTCAGGTTAGATTTCATGAATACAAAAATTGAGTAAAATAATCCAGAATTTGTTTGACAGATTTCAAGAAACAAAAATAAGACTGCAAATTGAATATGTTAAAGATATCTCTTTAATAAATGTGTTTAAAGCATTTTTTGGTGTCCAAATTACATGTTAATTGATGACTTAAATATTTCACAAATTTCTACAAAATGAAGAGGTTTTTAAAAATCTTGGCTTGCGAATCTGACTGACCTGCATAGGTAATTGGCGTTATTGCAAGTTACACAAAAACGCGTAAAGACGTCCAACTTTTATCAAATACTGGAGGATCCGATACTGAGGATAAGGAGGATCTGATAAACTTGATTTCACATCCTAATTTGTTCAAATTCGCAAAAAATAATTATCTACATTTGCAGATTTTACTGGGTTACAAAAGTCACAAGTTTAAACAATTTTATATAGATTACGGCCATTGTAAACTTACACAAATGTCTATAAATTACAGTCTATAAATTAATTTAATTAATTTAATTTAATTAATTTAATTTAATTAATTTAATTTAATTAATTTAATTTAATTAATTTAATTTAATTAATTTAATTAATCTAATTAAATTTAATTAAACTTAAATTAAATTAATTAAATTGATCTCTATTAATGTCTATAAATTACCATAATTACACAGTTTTACAAATATCCTCGTATCCTTATAAAATTATACGAGATTATGTAAAATAATTCTACAGAAGTTACGCACGTTAATGCATTACAAGCGCCCGATTTTAATTTGCATTTGTATGAAAATACTATACTAATTTCAAATTTACCTCGTTCCAGGGATTCGCATTGCAAGATTTATGAATGTTGAAATTATTTAATTAACCTCAAAAATTCTGACAAAAATAATTGTCCAAATATAAATTTTGGTAAATTTGAACACCAATTGGAAATTTTATTTAAATAAAATATAAAATTCACGAAGTTTAAATAGGTTCTTCACTTGGGTTGGGGGTGCTAGTGCTACGTCTTAGAAAAATAGTCCTAAGTCTTTAAATAAATTTCATAAGCTAAAAATTGAGCAACATGTTTTTGTTTATGATGCATGAGCATGAAATCTAAATGTATTAATTCAATTCTTGTTCATATTCTGGCCATTTTTAGATAGTTTTAGTTTATCACGGTATGCATGAAAAATTTAACTTCGAAAAAATTGATTCAAACGCATATTTAATCCGGGACTTTTGTTGTGGTAAATTTCATAAAATCAAAATCACCTTATGCAATTTTACCACGCAAATAAGGTCCTGTTAATACGTATGGTATGAGCTTAAAGTAATTTTTCAGGTGTCCAAATTACATGTTAATTGATAACGATACCAGTTCGTTTTTGGCAACAGTTTCACCTACACGTAGATAAAAAATGGTCACGTATTATGTTCGACTTGTTGAAGAAGATCACGTCCACGTCTACGATTTAAAAGATGCCAAACTAATTGATACCGGAAGTGAACATAATTATGGTGAAAGTGAGGTTGAAAATAGTTGAGGGTTAGTTATCGACAGGTTAAGCTTATAAAGTAATGCAAATTAAAAAAAAATTAGTATGAAAACTTGAACGCCACTTATAAGAATAAATAAAATAAGTTATTTACAAAGATTAAGTAGATTTCCCGTTAGTGTACTTCTAATATTAATAGAAAAAGTGATCTAAATAATTCAGAATTCTAAAGATACATTTCATCAAATAAAAATCAATTTATGCAGATTTAATGTGTAACTGACATCTTGCAGAGGAAGACGAGAATTTACAAGATGTGGAAAAAATTGACACCTGATGTGAGCAGAATTTTGGTAAAAGTGTGGCTGAAAATAGGCGAGGGTTAATTATTGACAGGTTAAATTAATGAAATGCATAATACAAATTCTTTTACATAACGTTTTTATAAATATGAAAACATGAACGCCATTTATCAAGCACATGAAATGTATTTTGACTTCAAAAATTTGAAAAGCTTATTTATTAGGCGTTAATACATATTGTTTCATGAGTAGAAAAATTGATGAAAATACTCAGTACTTGTTAAATAGATTTCATAAAATAAAAATCAATTTATGTAAATTGAGTATGTAGATAAGATCCCGTTACTAAATAAATGTGTTTAAAGTTATTTTTCAGATATCTAAATTACATAAAGTTCTGTTTTAAGAAATATTTCAATTTTTCTGGACGAATTGCAAGTTTGTATTATAATAGCTATTTCGAATTTTGGAAAACTTGGAAGCCATTTGTAAAATAAACAAGATATATTATTCTGAAAGTTAAAATAGATCCATGTTAAGTTCAGGGTAATTAAATATTTAAATGATGGACTTCGATTGATATTGTTTTGTAAATAAAAGGATTGATTACAATAATCAGCAATTTTAAAAATTAAATCAATTAAGCAATCAAACTGTGTGTAAATAAACCATAAGTATTAAAATTTGCGCGTCATGTGTCAAGTAAATAAAGTTGATCATTATTTTAGAAGTTTAAAAAGATTCATTTGGTAGTATGCATGAATATGTTGATATTTCTTCATACATAGAAGAATTGATTTAGAAAATCTCGAATTTTTTGAAAGATTTTATAAACTAAAAATTAATCTATGCAAATTAAGTATGTAAGTAAGACCTTGTTGATAAATGTATGTCTAGAGTAATTTTTCATGCATTTAAACTACATGAACTTGAGTTAAGAAATACTTTGGCGAAATAAAACTATATTTAATAATTGGATTACACGGAGTTAAGTGGAAAAGTCGAAGAAAAAGTTGTGCTTTATTTTGTCAATATTTCGAATGCTATCTGCTATTCATTATCAAGACATTTACAAGATATATAAAAGATATAAAACTATATATTTTAATAGTTATTTCGAATTTTGGAAAATTTCTGTACAATTCGAAGGTTAATTTTTGACATACGTTAAATTTATGAAATACAAAATGCAAATTAAAAACAAATAATGTTTTCATAAGTATTACAACTTGAATGCCATTTGGGAAATAAATAAAATATATCAAAGTCAAACATTATATCTCAGATTTTTGTTATCAAGTATATTGTGTCATAAAAAATAGGAAAATTGATGAAAATACATAATCTAGACTTCTTTTGCGGATTTCATTAAACAAAAATCACCTTATGCAAATTTAGTATGCAAAGAAGACTCCGGTACTATACTAAATATGTGTTTTTATGAAGTAAATTGTCAGGCATCCAAATTACATGCCAATTGATACCGGCTCGATTTTGACAACAATTTCACCTACACCAAGGCAAAAATGGTCAAACATTATGTTCAAATTGTGGAAAATGATGAAGACGAAGATTCACAAGATGTCGAACTAATTAATTAATGACAGGTGAAATTTATGAAATAATGCAAATTAAAAAACATTCGTTACAAATTAAAAAATATTCGTTACAAATATGACAACTATGAATTTTTATAAGCCCAAAAATCGATAATTTTTTGAAAATTAAAAGTTTTTTAAAAATGAATTTTTATTTTTTCACGGATGTAATTCTGAACACAAATTGGGTTTATTTTTTGAAATCGGGTTAAAATTCGAAAAGTTACAGCATTTTTAAAATTCCGAATTTTGGCTGAAATTTTTTTTGAAAATTCCGCCAAGGACGTAAACATGCCCATTCAGGAAAACGAAAAAATAAAAATACGGGTCCACTTATTTTTGAACGTGAACAATTTAAAATTAGTCCGGTGGATATCGGCGATAACCACCTCACACCTCCTCATTGTTAGATAAATTTTGTTTCGCAACAAAATAGAAAAATTTATTAAAATAAAAGATGAAATTTTGAAAATATTTTGTAAACAAAACCAATTTATGCAAATTTAGTATGTAAGTAAATAAGATCCCGTAAATATAAATTTGCGTTTTGCGTAATTTTGTATGCATGAATCAAAATCAAAATCATATCTTATTTTATTTTGTTATTTATTTCGAATTTTGGTTTTTTAAAGTATAGTGAGGAAAAATTAGGATAATTAAATATCCATGTAATCGTATGCATGCATGTGGTACTTAAATGCATATTAATATAATTTTGGTAATTTGCATGTCAGGATATCAATATTGACCAATTAGAATCGAGCCAAAATAAGATTACTACAGTCTGTCTGGACTTGGACCCAATATAATGAATTGATTGATTAGATGGGTTCCTCATGACCCGAATTGATGATAAGTAAATACGTAAAAAAAATGTCTTGCTTTGCATAAAGGAGTCATTGAGAATTGTGGATGCATAAATGTCAGATATATTATTTAGTTTGTATCAGAAAAATGTTGGCTTAAATTGAACTTGGGCAATTTCTTGAGCAGTCTTCATAGAAAATCGTTATTTTTACAAGAAATTTTGGCGAGATTTTGGCGGATTTACATTGTGGATGATATACTTTTTGGAGTAGCAATTTCAATCTTTGTGCAGATTCTTATAAAAAAATATATAAAATAGGTAATAATTCTTGAGATATTTTGGAAGTCGTGCTACGATATATTAAAAATTCGTGCAAAAAGTGGTTCGCGAATTCACATTGGAAAAAACTGCGAATGTCTAAAATAAGTACTCAATTTTGGACAGATTTAGGTATAAAAAAATTGCAAAAGTTTTTTTTCTAAGTGAATTGTCGCCAAGCTAAAAAAAATTGCGGAAGATTATCATCCCTATCAAATTTTGGCGTTAAAAAGTGATCTGTGAAAATCTCGCCAGAAAAATGGTTCGCGAATTCACCTCAGAAGAAATTGTAAAAATAGGTCAGTTACGTTCCCTCCTGATCGCCGAAAAGGCGTCACCCCCACCCAACGAGACCTTTGAGGACGACTATTACCTCGTAAAATGGCTCCGCGCCAGAAATTTGGACGTTTCCAAAGCCCACGAAATGTTACTGGCGTCGCTCGCGTGGCGTCGAGAGAACAGAATCGACGGGATTTTAGACCGAGAGGGCGAAGTTCCTGAAAAATACAAGAAAACCAACCCGACCGGATATTTTGGGGATGACGAGGACGGAAATCCCATCCTTTGCTTGCCCCTCGGTCGCTACAAAAATCGCGACACAATAGCGGATATTGGACTGCAGGCATTTCTACGATTTTACTTTGCGTGGATGGAATCCGTGGCGAATTTCTTGAAAGAAAAGGAGGCCGAAACGGGCAAGAAAGGATTACAAATTATTCAGTTGGTCGATATGGAGTGTTATTCGATCAGGTGAGTGAGATAAGTACTTATCTAAAATATTTGGTAAAATCGTGTAATATTTATTTTAACTTTAAAATTATGATTAGATTAGATTATATAAGAATGAAAATTTGAATGACCTTCTGACCTTAGGTTTCATAACGGCTTTAAAAACAAAGAGGTTAATGACTTGAAAGTCAAAGTTCCAGCAAATTGAGAGGAATTTCCGGAAGTCTGGCTGAAGTTGTCGTATGATTTTACAGAATAAATTTATTTTAGCCTCGGGCGAGGGCTTATGCACCCGTCATGGTTGTCTGTGTGTAGATTACGCTCGTAAACCTTATCCAACCGACTTGAAATTTTGCACACACGTAGAATATTCAAAATTATGAATTAAGTTCGAAGATGAGCAAATTATCTGGAAACATTAAAAAAGTGGTAGTTGTACCAGCCCAATTATTTACATGCACAGTGTTTTGATTTTAGAAATTCAGGTCATTAAAAGTTTGTGACCTCCAAGTTCCTAGAAATTTAGAAAAATTTCGGGAAATCTGTAATACAATTCTACAGAATAGTCTTATTTTCGTTTTTTTTTGTTATTTACAAGTAACAATTTTATTTTCATTATTTTTTTAAGGGAAATCATGTATCAACCGGTTCGCGAATTTGTCAAGGAATCGCAGGCCATTCTCAGCGCGAATTATCCGGAATCTTTGAAGGTCATGTTGATCATTAATGCGCCCAGCGTGTTCGCCCTGGCGTTCAAACTGGTGAAGCATCTCCTGCCGAAAGAGACCTTGGCGAAGATCGATATTTATGGTCAGGACGAGGAGGAATGGAAACGCGTCCTGAGGTCAAAGTGTGCACAATTGAATAAAGTTCCCGTCCGGTGGGGCGGCACGCTGATAAGCAAGGACATCTTTGGGGCGGAGGGGACGGAGGCGTGTGTTTGGAGTCATGGACCAATTGCCTTATCGTTCTTTACAGATGGTGGGTTTTCTATTCTTATATAAATAAGTCAATTTTAAAATAATTTGTGATGTGTAAGTGCTATGAAAATGAAATGATCTGTAATTTGTGTACATGAAAATAGCGAACAGGACAATTTTTAATCCGTAATTTTTATTCCTAGTGTAGTCTAAAACCGAAATTTTGTAATTGACCTTTGACCTCTTTAATTTGAAAGTGTTTACACGGAGTTTAGTGCAAAAATCACAGAAAAAGATTTGCTTTATTTTCTCAATATTTCGAATGCTATCTGCTATTCATTATAGATGAAATGAACTGGGCATAATTTGTGTTAATGAAAACTGTGGCATAAATTCTCTCAAAATTTTTTTAATTCAAAGGAAAGGTTGCTGAAAGTCAGAAATTTGTCCAGTTTGACGTCATAAGTTATTTTTTTTAAATACTTTATACTATTTGAAGTAAACGAGATGTTATTTTTTCCCGCAAATATCTTCTCAGAAACTTACAGAAACATAAATATATATTTTAAATTCATAAATTTTTATAATTTCCTCCTTAATTCGATACATTTTTTTTATTTTACAATATTTTCCAATTTTTCTTAATTTTTTTATAATGGGCCTTTGTCTTTTTCTCCTTATTTTCAGACGTTATCGACTCCCACGGCTTCAAAAAGGTGAAAGTCGGAGCACGCGACAAGTATAAAATGGACGTCTTCACAACCTCTTCAAGATCCGAGATCCGATGGCGTTTTAACACGGAAGATCACGACATTGGATTTCAAGTCGTGTGCCCACGTGGTTCCACGCTCGTGCCGTGGCGTCGCCTTGACTCGCACAATTCGATGCAGGAGGGAACCATCACGTGCGAAACGGTGGGTAAGTACCAGCTCGTTTTCGACAACAGTTTCAGCTACACCAAGGCGAAAATGGTCAAGTATTATGTCCAAGTCGTGGAAGAGGGTGAAGATGAAGACGACAATTTACAAGATGTCGAACTAATTGATACCGGATATGATCATCATTTTAGCGAAAGCATGGTTGAAAATATTTAAGGGTTTATTATTGACAGGTTAAATTTACGAGGATGTCCGATGAATAGGTGAAATGTCCGTATGAAATGCATAATGCAAATCTATAAAAAATGTTTTTATAGGATGAAAACTTTAGCGTCATTAGTCAAATAAATGAAATACATTAATTCAAGTGTGTAAGTAGATTTCTTAAGAAAACTGGATATTGTTTCCTGATTAGAGGAATTGTATGAAAATAATCAGGAATTTTAAAATTGATTTTAAGAAATAAAAATCAATGTATATATATAAGTTGTGGACGATTTGGATTTACAAAAAGCCGAGCTAATTGATATCGGATGTGATCATATTTTGTACAGGAGAAAGTGTGAATGAAGTTTTGAAAAAAATAAACGTTATTAGCGCGACAATTGTTTAATAAATATATGTAGATTATATCATTTCTAGTTTCCGGAAAAAATTTTCATTTCTTCTGCTCAGAATTTTACATATGTAAGTCGTAGTATTATCATACAGCATGATTAGTGCGAAAAAAACCCTCATCTCGTATGTAAAACTTGTTAGATAAAGAACCAGAAAAAATGTTTATTTAAATTTAATTAAAATTTAATTTGAAATTCACATTTTGGAAATTTCTGATCTCCTGTGTGATACAAACAAACCCAATCTAAAACAATTGACTATATTAATAAAATGTGTAAAATTATTTGCCGACGGTGAATCCATCCATCGTTTGGTCCAGCACCATTCATCAAGGATTTTATTGAATCCAGCCAGCACGTTGGGTCACGTGCTCTATCCAACAATCCTATTTAGCATAGATAACGGATTTGGACACGGATCACGGATTTGGACCAAACTAGCGTCAATCGATCCCAAATATAATTAGTATGAAATTTGCAAATGGCACTATCTGCCAATGCTCAAGTTTAGTGGAGATATTTGCATAAAAAGAGTAGAAAACGCACCCCCACCCAAGGCTGGAAAATTTGTCATTTTCCAAATTTGCGGCGCACTTTCTCCCCTTTGGATGCAAATATCTCCGCCAAACCTGTGCATTGGCAGAAAGTGTCGTTTGCAAGTTTCCTACTAATTATATTTGTGATCGATTGACGCTAGTTTGGTCCAAATCCATGAGCATACGTTGGGAGACTTCCATTGTAAGATTGAAAATTTGAATACCTATATTCTTACCGTACGTCGGTAGTCACCCAAATCGGCTCATTTTAAATCATTTCTCGGCTCTTAAAATTTACTTTTAAATTCTGGAAATTTGCCGTCCGTGAGTCAATTAATAGAATGTCGATGAATTTTTTTAAGCTAGCTTCGATGGGTTCCAATTTTTCTGACTTGAGTTCTCCTCCTTCAAAACTCTGTACTTGTGGTTCAGAATTTTAAAATAAATTCCATAAAGAACAATAAAGAACAGAAATGATTTTAAAACGTGTTCATTTTGACGATTTTAGCGATGAGTCCTACGTTAATCATAATATGACAGCAATTCCTTTGCAGATCGCTATGAATTTTTCAGAAAAAAAATTTGAAAATAAAATTTATTTTTGTAGAAACGTAACTAATTGCATTATCGAATTTTATTTTCCTCATTCCACATACTATATACGTAAAAATAATTTGCTATCTGTAATAATTTTCTATTTGCTTTCATATAACATGGCAACTCATTTCAATCTACATTGTCGCGTTACATTGACAAAATAAATAATTACATAAATAAATATAAAATTCAGTAAAAATATTTTTCTTGCAAGTTTTTTATGTCGTTTTATTTTTGAGTATTTTGTCAGTTTGTCATACATACACACCGGATTTGCTTTTTGTCACTTTTTCACCCCATTTTGTTGATAAGATGTCGGACAGGTTTTCGGGAAAATCGGGAAACCTCAAGGCGGCTCGGCAGGACTGCAACGCAAAGATGACAACTTATCGGGCGTAAGTTTTTTCTGTTGGGATTTATAATTTTAAATCTTTTTAATTTTTTAGATTTTCTACTCGATTTATTTACGTACAAATTGAATTCTTCATATTTTTTAGAATGGAAACTGAGAAACTGAAGGGTTCATTTCCTCCAGAAATTGTACTTCCGTCCTGGGTCGGATGGCCGTTAAATAGGACCTCAACTTAACGTTAACAATGGTGCTTACTGGTCTCGCGGTGCGTTGGGTAGTTCGGTGGGTAAAAAATAATTTATGCATTTTGATATTTGTTTGTAAAATTTTGGAATGGGTTGATTTTGTAGTGCAAATTTTCTGGTTAATTTTCATTGCATGCGTTAATGAGATACTACAGGTTTTTACTCAGAATTTTAGAAATTTTTACAAAAATTTGAAGCGGACTTGACATCATGTAATGTAGCTTGAGTTATAGTTGAACGCATTTGCATTGAAACTGCATACTTGCAGAATTTGTCAACATTTTCAGTATGAGTAATGTAACGCCCCCTGTTCTACTATGGGGTTAGCGTGTCCCGATCCACACCCACTTTCGTGGATGTCCCTTATTTTGTGACTTTTGTGCAATAAATTTGTAGAAGATGTTCACTTTTTAAGGAGAATTATAAATATCTTTTATTTATATCAATACCGACTGAAAAATATTGATTTACCAAAATGCTTATATTAATAAATATGTGGGAGAGCTAGTGGTCTCAACGGTGCGGTTCGGTTCGGTTCTTGGAAGAACCGGTTTAGAACCGAGAACCAGAATTGAAGAACCGAAACAGAACCGAACTTTTTTTAGTTGGAACCGAACCGCAACCGGACCAAACCGGGACCGAACCGGCGGTTCGGGTCAAACCGGTAGTGTTATTAATATGCAATAAACAACAAACAATGCTAATTGACGTGTTTCTGATAAAATTTCACATATAAGCCAATAACTTATCTGTATTTAAACAAGCAAATTCGAATACATGTCAACAGCAAAACCACTTATGTATGTATTATTGAAGTTAGAAAACAATTCCAAGTTTGGGGTGCAACCAAGTCAAAATTTCATTTTGGAAACATTTGGGGTGTGACCAAGTAAAAATTTCATTTTGGAAACATTGGGGGTGTAACCAAGTCAAAATTTCATTTTGGAAACTTTGGGGTGTGACCAAGTAAAGATTTCATTTTAGAAACTTTTGGGGGTAAAAATTTCGTTTATGAAACTTTGGGGGTGAAAATTTCATTTTGGAAACTTTGGAGGTGTCATCAAGTCCAAATTTGGTTTTGCAAACATTGGGGGTGTGACCAAATAAAAGTTTCATTTCGGGAACTTTGGGGGTGTGGCCATGTCAAAGTTTCATTTTGGGAACTTTGGAGGTGCGGCCACGTCAAAATTTCATTTTGGAAACTATGTGTATTTCGGGAAATTCGTAAAACTTTTTCGAAAATATGATTAACTTCGCTAATGTATTCATGTATGAAGTTCGGTTCAACCCGAACCGGCCGGTTCGGTTCGGTTCTCAAAGACTTGAAACCGGAACCGAACCGGTAATAAAAGTTTCGGTTCGGTTCGGTTCTCCGTATAAACCGGAACCGAACCGAGCCATCGGTTCCGGTTCGGTTCTATGAGAACCGAGAACCGTTGAGACCACTAGGGAGAGCTAATGATATATTTATATTTCCTAACATTACTTAAAAATGGGAACTAATTCTATTTTAACTAAATGATCTTAAATACTAATAACCTTGATGGTTGGAAAAGTTGAACCTGCTCTTTCCGTGTTTAAAACTACCCTTCTGTTCTTCTCTCTGCTTACCGTATATATCTATTATCCTATGCTCATAATGTAGTGTGCTCTGCCTGCACTCAAGTGCATTCAAGTTTACGGTTTGGATAACCATGAGTGGCGAGTCATTACTTATACTAAATATGTTTCTCATTGTTTTCAATTTCTATACCTACCCATTGATCAAATTGATTAATTACTTCACAATTAATGTTGTCCACATTATGAAGTATAATCAATGTGAAAAATCTACTTTACTAACTTAACTGGTAGATATGGAAAGTGAATACAAAATTATGGTTTTCCACTCTTACTCTCATTATGGAGTGATGGATGAGAATCCATACGACCCTTACATGCAAACTAAATCTATGTAGTTTGAATCCCTTGACCTTTGGAATGCAAAGTTGCTTATGCAACAGCATTACAAAGGTTGCAGTAAACTTTAGCGTACCCAAAATTTTGGAATTTACAAAAAATTGTTAAATTTTTCAAATTTTAACCTAGAAATCTTTTCCCTAAATTTTCTTCTCACTAAATCATAATGAAGTTAATTAAACTTCGTAAAACGTAGCACCCTCAAAATTTTAAAGTTTCCTAAAAATATTAAATTGGTCGAATTTTAACCTACGATTTTCTCGTAACTAAATTACGATCGAGTTAATTAACAAGATTTTTGCAGCTCAAACCAATCCCGGCATCGAATCGCAAGAAGCCGGACTTTATTCTGGTTGACCCCACCCACTCGAAGTGTCCCTACGACCCTCTCCACGACCCCGGATTGACCAACTACTTTTCCACCCCGTACGTCAAATCCCTCCTGAAACGAAACCAACTCATCGATCCGACCGGATCCGTGGTTTGTTCGCAAAGGGACCAAAGTCAGTACCGAGATTTCCTTTACGCTACCGGACTTCGAGAAGGGGTCGAGTTTCGGCACAAAATGGAGGTAAGCAATTAATTGTGGGCTCATTTTTGACCTTGAGTGACCTCGAGTAGAGCTAAAAGTGCTCTTCGATTAAATTACATGCATTGCAACAAAATTCATAAATTGGAAGAAATTTGAAATAATTTTTCTTTCTTTGAAATATATATTTTTTTAATAATTAGATTACTTAACGGATACAGACCGGATTAAAATTTAATCCCAATTTAAATTTAATCCCAATTAAAATTTAATCTCAATTAAAATTTAATCTCAATTAAAATTAGTATATGACAATTAATCCTAGATTATATTTACGAAATTAGACAAATTTGCAAAAATTGAAAGATGGATGGATTCATCGTCAGTAAATAATTTTACAGATTTTATGAATATTTCAAACTATTTTAGGTCAGCGTCATTTGCGTGACAAAAGTAGAGTAAAAATTTTCATAAAATGAATTTCAAACTCGATTTAAATTAAATTTAAATTAAAATATTTTAAAGTATTTATAAATTTTTTCAATATGTTTCTGAATTTTTAAGAAATGTTGCATACGAGATGAGGTTTTATTTGTAGGCGCAATTACAATTTTGTCAGGTGGTGATGCCATTAAAGAAAAATATAAGTTTGAGGGAAATTAAGTAATGATTGCTTAGATAGCAGTCTTGAAATCCATGAAATGGAATTTGCTGTCAAAATAAAATATCGTATTTTGAAAATACAATTTGTGAATTTTTGAGAAGTGCATACAATTAAGTGAATGCCTAACAAATGAGTACGTTTTTTTAAATTTTAAATTTCTGATTTTCCATCATCTTAATTTTGAATTAATTTATAATTCTGTGCATAAAGTATAACTGGCAAAATTCATTTTTCGCAAGAAATTTCCCTTCACGTAACGTATTTCTAAAATTCTTATACCGTTCTTTATTTCCATAAACTGTTTACAATATTATTGAAATTTCCCCGTAAAAAAACATTGCAGCAATAATACAAAAAAAATTGAAAAATTTGTGAAAAAAAAATCCTGCTCGTAATTAATTTAAAAAAATTAGAAATTCAGTAATTGGTAGATTTCAACACCTTTATAGAAAAATTGTGAAAAGTGAAATTAATTTATTCATTTCTAAGATGGTTTGTATGCCTGTAGTCGTTTTTAAAAACAATCCCAAAAACTAGAATTTTTTTTTAATTCATAAGATTAAAAGCGTTTAAAAATTCATTTCACATTTGTTAGATTTCAAGACCTTTTTAGATAAATTCTAAAAACTTACATAAATATACTCATTTCTCAGATCTTGAGTTGCTGTCTTCACGATTATAATTTGTGTCATTTCTAAAAAGTTTCCCAAAATTAAAAAAAAAACACTACTAATTATTAATATAAACCATGAAATTTAATACGTATGTAAATACTTAGTTATGAAATTATATAGGCCGAGCGACACGCCTAGCTCCGCCGTATTTCCATAAACTGCTTACAATATTATTCAATTTAAAAAAAACACATCGCAGCAATTATAAAAAATTAGAACAAATTTTTGAAAAAAAAATCCTGCTCGTTATTAATGAAATTTAATATGTACTTATTACTCATGAAATTATAGGCCGAGCGACACGCCCAACTCCGCCGTGAGCAAATCATGTTGGAAAAAGAGGCGAAAAATTATCCCGAACGGCAACGCCGCTACGAAGCGACCTTATCACAGGGAAAATCAATCCAGCGTCGGAAACGTAATTTGGCCATGGTCGAATATGACCGTGCTCGAGAAGGGTGGACCGGCCAGATTGCGTCCCTTAATTCAACCCGAGAGGCCGCCAGGGTGGCAAAACTGGCAAAAAATGCGGAGTTGGAGGCACAAAGGAAAAATAAAGTGGCGATGGCGAGGAAGGCAAAATTGGCGAAATTAGTGGTGAAGGAAGACCTCGACGTGAAAACGATCTGCGCCAGGGACAATAAACTGGCCGCGATTAAGGACAAGAGGAATGAGAAGGATGAAATTGTGGGTGACTTTTTTTAAAAATTTGTTTGAATGAAAATTTGTGAGGTTTGGTTTTTAAAAAATATTTTGTAAAATTGAATTTTATTTTTAAAATTGAGAGCTTCATTATTCCATGCTGAAATTTGGTCTGAAGGAGGAAACATTCGGAACCATCTTCGAGTAATAAGAATATCAAGTTAATTTCCAGAAATTTTTCTAATCGGCGTCGAGAAGAGTGATTTTTTAAGTTAGTTGAAAAGAAACAGATTTTGAATTTGCACAAGACAATGAACAAATAACCAGAAGTGGAATTTAAATGGAAACTACAGGCAGGTGTAATTTTGTTCAGAAAATTCATCTAAAAGATGCAAATTTCGAAATTCTGATTTTTGCAAAATCAAAATTCAATACTGACAAAGTTGAAGTCCATAAATAATTTTGCATGATTTTAAAATACGCTAAGATTAATTTAAGATCGAAATTTCATAATAGTTTTTCATATGAATACAAATTTCATAAAAAAAATTCATAATTAATGGTAATTTTATTCATCATAAATTTTAATTTAGAAAAAATTTCGTTGGGAAGCCATGCTGACGAGTATGCAGACCCACGCTGACCAAGCCGCTTGCGCCAAGGAGGTCGCCTTGATCGAGAGGGCGCGTCGCGTGGAGATCAGAGAAGCTAAAATCGAACAACAGAGGAAACGGCTTCGTAAAAAAAATATATGCCGACTAATTTTAATGATAAGATAAGGTAACTACTTATCTTTTTTGTACAGCGATGATGATCCAAGAAAGAAAATTGAGGGAGGAAAGACTGCAAAGAATTGTACGGAAATATGCTCTCCTTTGGTTGCGTAAGGTTCGAGAAAAATTGAAAAAGGAGAAATTGGACGCTGCCCACGTTTCCTCGTTCGAAGTGGAAAGATCCCTAGCAATTTGGGTGGGACAACTTGAAGAGGCTACGGGAATTGGTAATACATAATTTTTTTTGGAAATTATGGTAAATTTTGGGAGCAATTTGTATTTTATTTTAGGAAAACCTGGCGGACCCTTGGCCGGTTTTGATTTCAAGACTTTTATGCAAAATGTGAAAAAGGCGAAAAATAATAACACTGGGAAAATGTCGAGAAAAATTTCGCACGTTTCAAACAAATTTGAGCAAGATTCCGGTGCTGAAAATGAGGATGAAGACGAAGATGAGGAAGAGATGATTTGAAAATTGGATCATTATCGGATAATTTTGTAAAAAACGAGCTTAATATTTGTACGAATTTTTGTAATAAGACTTTTAATAGTATGGAAAATAGAAGGAAAAATGTATGAAAAATTAATTTGTGCCAAAATGAGCTCTTTTGCGAATAAAATTGCATGGATGGTTTGTGAGATGAGATTTTGCGTATGGTTGAATCCACTTGGGCGGATTTTGAGAGAGGACGTATTTATAAAAGTCATTAGATACGTCTCGAATTTTTGGAAAAGTTTGTACTAAATTTTCATAAAAATATACGTATATTAATTAATATTTAGTATACTTTTTAAATAGTTTATTAATTGCTTGAGTTGGCCGGAAGTGACGATAAGTCGAAGGATACAAAGTTTTCCAGTGATTAACTCCTGGACGACGAGAAGTTATTTTGATAATTTTCGAGGTACTTGTTTTGATTCGATAATTTTAAATTCAATCGTAATAATTTATTAATAATAAAATGCCACCTTCAAATTTTAAATGTAATTTTACAGGAGAATTAAACTAATATGTCGACCTCACAAGCCGTCAAAATCCCAGCCGGACTCGAACTAGCGTACGACTTGGAGAAGGCGAATATTGAAAATGGCCTTGACGCCTTTGTCCTCACCCTTCATTGGTCCATAATTAGGACCGGATTGCTTCAAAGGGTCCCAAACTCAGCGACCAACGAACTAACGGAACGGCTCCCCCCTGATTGGCCTCAACATGGTTCGTCCCATCCAAATTCGGCGACGAGAAGTTTGAGCCTCTTCTACTACGACAGACTGAACCCTCACTTGCGATATGAACTTAAAGTGATTGAATTAACGGCCAACGACATGGTGGCCGTGACCCTGTTTCGATCTCCGATTACGACTACGCCACCACCAGCGACAAGTGTGGATTCTACGCCGCCGGCGAATAATCCGAACCGACCAGCTTCAAAGGTTACTTCCGGCGTGGAGAAGAATAGTGCTGCGGCGACGTTTCAAATTCCAAATTTTATCAGGACTTCCGTCTTTGATGGTGAAGGGAGTAGAGATAGGGCGACGGACGTGTACGAACATGCCGACCGATTGGAGACGCAGCTTTATGAGAATATTATGGAACCGTTAGGATTAAGGGTGATGGGTCAACCACCAGTCCAAGGACCGTATGATGATGGGTCAAAAAAGACGTCGACTCCGGCAGCGGCGACGACGGAGGGGGAAGGGCGACAAAGTAGAGATCCCTTGTTGGATGAGAGGTTTGTCTATCCAGATTTTGGGCGCAGGCCGTCCCCCCTCGGGCCGGGAATGCCGTTGGGTCCATTGTAAGGAAAATAAATACTGCAATTATTAATTAATGAAGAAATTTAATGATAAAGTGTGATTTGTATTCGTGAAGGCATATTCCTCCGATCGGTGGAGGGCTTGGGAGGTCAGATTTGGACCCTTTAGGCAGATTTGGGGCCGGAAATGTGTTAGACCCGAGAGGATTTCGACAGCCACGAGGAGGTGGAATTATGCCAGGTTTACCGTGAGTGAATATTTCTAAAAATTGAGGTGTTTGCAAGGAGGATGAAATTTATGTAAATATATTTGATTTTGTAGAGGTGGAATCCCTCCCGGAGCAAGATTTGACCCTTTCGGACCCCCAAATCCGACTCGACCGGATGGAGGAACCGGTGGGATGTTTGCTATGCCAAATCCAGACGTGGAACGGCCTCCATCTTCCGATTATGATGATATGTTTATGTAAAATTTGTACATTTTCGTTTTGTGGAGGAGTTTATCTAAACAATTTATGAATACAAATATTATATTCGTGCGATTCGCTACTTCTCTGCCGTTTTTTGTGCAATAGTTTATTTACTATATTGTATTGTCCTAAATATTTGGCGTTTCTGAAATAATAATAAGCATACGCGTAAAATTAATTCCAGTTTTTAACAGAAATGTAATGTACTTTATTATTTCTACTAAATTAACGAATTTATACAGCAGAATGTCTACTTTATAAATTTTTGACTCATTTTTGTTGGCAAAAGCTACAATTTACAATCATTTTAAGCCCGCTGAACACACTACACTCGCATATTTGAAATTTCTGGTAATTTTTTTAATGGTCGTTATCCTCCGCGGAAATTTCATTGTCTTTGCTTTTCATTCCGCATCCGACTTTTCCGTGGCGTCGCTCCCACAAGAGGCGATGTTTCTGCTTCATGAATGCATACTTGACGTTATGTATAGCACCAAGATCGCCGTCTAGAATAGTAATTATCAGTGAATAAGGTAATAAATTAATAATTAATAAACTTGAGGTGCTATGTACATTTAGTGAACCAATTGGCCGCCGCAACTTCATACGCTTCCTTGAGTGGGAAGCACTTTTCATAATCGGGATACTCCTCACGGACACAATCGTCCATCCGATAACGTAAAATGTTCAGGATTTCATTGTCCACATTCTTATCTCGCCTGTATTGCATGTCAGCTTCGTAGATGCACAATTGGTCGTCAAGATAGCATTGATCGATGGTGGGGACGCGGCGGAGCCGTTCGTGATACCACGGGTACTTTGTTTGATTCGGGGTCACAATTTTTTCTGCAAGAGAAATAGTCATTATATGATAAGGTCGTCGACAATGATAAGGCGACGATGATGAGTTAATTTATTTTATTACCTCTAAACCAGGTCACAGGCCGGTCCACGAGAGAAATAAGCCAATCGCTCGTATCTACTCCGGCACCCCGAGGAGCTTGCTTCGGCGGAGCAGAGTGGTCATGTTTATTAAAGTCGTAATCCTCGGCGGGGGAGTGGTCCGACATTTTTGCTGAAATTAAGGTAAAAATAGTCAAATGCAAATAAATTTGAGGAGAAAGAACTAAAATTCAGTCAATTTTCCAACTATATATTTCTTAATTCTACTGAAACCAACCGACCGCAAAAATAGTGTCTTAACACGCAAATACAATTTCACAGCACAATTATTTAAAAACCTCACCTACCTTATTCCCAGAAAGGGTTCCAAAATTTCTTTAAAAAACTGGAAATTTTCAGCTTATTTTATTTCCTCCAGCCCAATCCAAACCCAAGTCAAACCTGGCGGGTTGCACGGTGTCTCAATCCGCCCCAGAACAAATATTTACCAACTTTCACCCACTTTCTCTCACTCGGTTTCACTCTGATTTTGCTAAGTGTGTATTTTGCTGATGCCCATTTTTCTTTCTGGTGGAATAATAAAACGTGACAAAATAGGCTACGTCCTGATTTTGATTGATTGCAGGAGGAAATCAGGTCTGTGTAGGTAGGAGAACTGCATTGTGCAAAATAAAAGGGTCGTGTCACCCGTATAGCGTGACACGTAATAAATTAGATACACGTTTCGTTTATCGTAATTTATGGGCCAATAAAATATCCTGGGGAAATAACCTGATGTAAAACCTGCAGAGAAAAATGCATGCAAAAAACTCGTACACTTTTGCTGTGGTTGTGGTTGAGCAAATAAGTGTCGAAATTAGAAAAAAATTCAACCTACAATATTTGCAACTCTAAAAGATAGGTACTAAAAAAATAACTTCGAAAGATCTGATTTACAATTTTGGCCGTATGAATTCTAAAAATAAAACAAATGACGCAAAGTCAATACAAAAAAAACATAATTATAACTTTCGAATATTTTTTTGTTATTATTAACTTTAATAACCATTCATATATTCATATATTATTCATTCATACTTCACATAATTTATGCATATAGTTAGCTAACTAAAATTTATATTTCAAAATTTAAATGTGTTTATATAAGCCTATATGTATGATCTTTATTAGGAATACATATTTTTTAATGTATAAAAGTTCAATTGTGGTGGTTGAAAATATTGCAATTCACGCAGATTTTTGCAACTTACTCAAAACTAAAAAAAAAACTTCTGGGGTTTACAATGTAAACCTCCAGAAGTTCGAATCTTTGCTTGTATGTAAACTTTACATACAAGCAAAGATTCGAACAAAACCAGATTACAAATTTTAATCAGACTGACGCAAATCTTCTAAAAAACGCACCATTACTTGTTATACACACGTTTTGTTCTTATAAGTCGCACGATTTTTCATCATCTCATATTTTGAAATTTTAGCTGCATAAATTTTGAAAATACAACAAACGGCGCAATTTGCTGCAAATGTATTGTTTTTCTCCTTTAGTAGAATTTCAGAATATTTTTTTCATAATTTCTTGTCGAATGTACGCAAGTTTATAAAGATTACGAGGGGAAATTAAGTGTAAAAACTTATCGTAAACGTTTCACACAATACACCACAAGGAATCTGGTTTCACGTTTTTACCCATAAATTCTTAAAATGCAACAAATGACGTAATTCGCTGCAAAAAATATTCGCAATATTTTTTTCCCATATTTACAAACTCCCAAATAAATGAGAAAATAATGACCTTGTCGAAGTCGATAAGTCACTTTTTAGTATCAAAAATATCATAATTTCTTGTCGAATACAACGGTTTACGCAAGTAGACGAAGGAAAATTACGTAAGCAGGCTACAAATTTATCGTAAACATTCCGCACCAAAAATGATCACCAAGAAAAGGAATCTGGTTTTAAATTTTTTCCCAATAAATTCTGAAAATACAACGAACGACGTAATTCGCTGCAAAATAATTTTCGCAATATTTTTTCCTTTATATTTACAAACTCCTAAATAAATTTGTATGAGTTCGTTTTTCCTCCTTTTCCTTGACCTTGTTGAGGTCGATAAGCCAGTTTTTGGTATGTAACCCCCATCAAAAATATCATAATTTCTTGTCGAATACAACGGTTCACGCAAGTTTGTAAACATTACGAGACGAAATCAAGTATGGACTTATCGTAAACATTTTTGAACGGAACAATAAGCGCATCTAGTTTAACCCTTTAACGTGTATGATTGACGACAAGAAAATGCATTAAATCGGGGACACTATAAGTATGTTGTGGTCATGGCGCGGGAGGAGAAATTCAGGAGTTTTTAATAAAACTCGAAAAACTGAAAAATCAAAAATTTAACATTGCGTTGTATAGGGAAATATCCAAATTTTTGGGAAGAAAATCTTCAAATTTAGCATTGTGTTGGCATAGGAGAAATCCCTCAAAATTGCAACAAATTTTCGGTCGCGGAGAGAAAATGGTGAAAATCAATGACCTCCTAGAAACGACAATTGTCTTCCTTCCGCGCCATGACCACGATTTTTCAGGACGACTTTTGTCGTACTCCCGAATTAAACCATTTCTTATAAAACGACAATTGTCGTCGTTACAGTTTAAAGGGTTAAAATTTTTATCCCATAAATTCTGAACATACAATAAATGGCGTAATTCTTTGCAAAAAATATTCGCAATATTTTTTTCCTTCATATTTAAAAACTCCTCAATAAATTTATACAAGTTTGTTTTTCCTCCTGTTCCCCCTGACCTTGTCGAGGTCGAAACATACATAAGTCATTTTTTGGCATGTAACACGCGCATCCGAAGAAATATTTATTTATCGTGCTCATCAATTCTTATCAGATTCTATTCAACTAGTTGTTCCCTGGTGAAATGTCCTGTTCTCTGTCCCGGACTGGGAACGGATGAGATATGAGGAGAGGCTGGCTGGAAAGAAGAAATGAATAATGCGTTTTCTCTCTCTGGATCCCCATTTCTCCAGAGAATGAGACCAACCAGCCAGCCACAGACCGACTTTCACCAAATAAATCCAACCCGATCCATCCATCCTGTGTTATCATCCACTTTCACAATTCACTTCCACTTTGAGTCCATGAATGACGAACGAGTCTCAATTTTCCCGAGTGCTTTCTCTCTCTCACATTCTCCTGATTTCTCTAAATCATGCGGTAGTAGAATTATGCAGTATCGAACGTTTTACCAAGTTGGATGGGATTTGTGTATCTAATGGTAAAAAGAATTACGACCGAGTGGTAAAAATAATTGCGACCAAATGTACACATTATTGCAACCGAGCGGTAAAAATTATAGCGACCGAATGGTAAAAATTATTGCGACCGAATGGTAAAAATTATAGCGACCGAATGGTAACATTTATAGCGACCGAATGGTAAAAATTTTTGCGACCAAAAAGCAAAAAGCAAAGTCACCGACCGGAATATAAATTCATCGCCGTGCAATTCTAACATGAAGCATATTGTATTTTTTCTGCATACATATTTGTTGCAATTGATAAAAAAACCGTTACCAACTTGGTAATTCCTTTACTTCAGGTAACGATTGTTATCACAATCTGTAAAGTGTGACATTGACTATTTGGTAAAAATTTGTTACCGGATGATTTTTTAGGGTGTACTTTCTTCCCAAAAAAATCACTCCACTCTTCTTCATTTTGATCCAACTTTCATTTCATCACAACTTCCTCTTTTATATTCTTTTTCCCCAATCAATTTATCCTCTCACGAGGAGAGAGAGAAAGAAAGAATGGAGTTTGTATAGTCGTTCGTACTTCAAACAAAATTAAATCGATGATGATGTCGACAAAGACAAAGAAGAAGAATTTCTGGTAAATTTCCACTTTTATCTATGTATTTATTCATTCTTTGCGAAAATACAGGAAGGTTTGGATAGATAGAAAATGCTGCTTTCATGTCATTAATTCCATGTCCATGTTTTTTTTTACCGAGATAATTAAACCGTCCATTAATTAATCAGGATTAGTTAGTTGGTTGATTGGTTACATTAGTTTATGCAGTTTTCGTGCAGGTGTGGTCAGTCGGGTGGAACAACAAAAAAGTTAGGCTGGTGACAATCTGTCACATGTAGAGTGTAGACCAGGTTGGGTTTTATTTTAGGGGAAAAGATCTATAAATGATGGGATGACGGCGAGTTTATAAAATGGATCGTGTTAAGTAGTAAGTATGATGAAAAGGTCAAATGGAGTGATGATGACACTCTTAGAAATATAGGATTGGTAAGTCCTACTTAGTCCTAGATTAGTGTGAGGTGATGTGTTTTTTACCAATTTGGTCGTGTTTGTTACCAATTTGGTCATTTTATAAATACAAATTTGGTAATACAAATTTGGTAATACAAATTTTTTACCAGTTTGGTCATATTTTGTACCAATTTGTTCATATTTTGTACCAATTTGATCATTTTATAAATACCAATTTGGTAATATTTTTTTACCAATTGGGTTATATTTTGTAGCAATTTGGTCATTTTTTTAAATGCCAATTTGATCATATTTTTTTACCAATCTTGTATTTTATTTAAATACCAATTTTGTCATACTTTTTTTATCAAATTAGTCTTGCACGTACTCCAATTACTTTTCGACCATGATTTATTTGTAAAACGATAAATACCAAATCATACCAGATTTATGCATTACTAGTAAATAGTTTTACGTCTAATAATAAAATTTGTCAAATCTTGACACCGATAAAAAAGGTGAAGGTTTTATTTATATAAATGTGAAATAAAGATGTTTCGGGCGTCCTGTGAAATGATTTAATTTCGTTGCAAACAATAAAATTCATAAAATTTCTATAATTTTCATATTTATAAAAGGGCAAAAACAATTTTAAGGAAATGTAACTTCGGCACAATTAAATGAAATTGGTAATTGCTACCAAAGACTCATTTTTCGAATTTCTTGTTTCCAGTTTGGTCATAATTTAAAAAAATTTGGTAACATTTTGGTAAAAATTTGATAATTTTCTGCAACTATGTAATTTAGTCAGATAAATAACTTGGTTATGCTTTGTAATCAATTTGACTATGATTATTTTCACATCATTCATAACTTGTTAGTGGCGATTTCAAATTAAAAACTTGTCACAGATTGACTCCAATTATGAAAATTATTACAGTTTTACTACGTACAAATTCACTCAAGATGTTGTCTATCCAAACGGAATAAAGTGTATTCAATTGATATCAAAAAGACAATTATATTGTTTTCGTCACCAATTTGGTACACATGTCGCCGCCGCCACGGGAGAGTCGAATTTAATTCATGAGAAAATTGTATCCCTAAATTTCTAAGAGTTTTCTTTATGGAAATGATTTCATAATTTGATAAGAGTCCTCGTCGTCGTTCTTTTTTATCTGTTGTATCGCATTGTAAGTGAAGAATGACACGTTGAAAGGTTTG